AATAATAGTAATTCAATTAAAATGCCTTTCACATTTTTAGTTAATTAAATTGTTTATTTGAAATTCGTTTAGAAATATATACTAAATTTTAGCAATTATTTTTAATGCCTTTAATTTAGCATTTATAATGATTTAAGTTAGGATTTAAAAATTATTATGAATTATTAAGTAGTCAATGATATATGTTCGTTTGAAATTAAAAAGTTAGCATTTAATTAAATTGCCTTTCACATTAAAATGTTTATTTGAAATTCATTTAGAAATATATACTAAATTATGAATAATTTTAGCAATTTAGGTACGATTTAGTGTGAATTTTTAGGTGGTCAATGATTTATTATTGTGAATTATTTGAATTTCATTTAATTTAAGTGTTAGTTAATTTATTGTGTATTATTAGATTTTCAAAATCTTAGTATTGTGAATTAATTCCATTAACGTAATGTTTTAGTGTATTTAGTGTTAAAAATCTTAGTATTGTGAATTAATGCCATTAACGTCTACAATTAGATTTTAATGTATTTAGTGTTAAAAAACTTAGTAATATGAATTATTATGATTCAAAAGTTAGTTATTGTGTTTGATTAGTGACATTAACATTTTGATTGTAGTTTATTAATAATATTAATTGAATGTTTTTTAATTTTGGTAAACTTTAGTGAAATTTTAGTAAATGATATATTGTTAGTTATGGAGTATATTAATGTTCCTACATATTAATTAGTGAAATATATTAAAAATAACTAATTATTGTTAATGTTTTTAATTTATAGTTTTTAACCAATATAATATTTTGATTATAATATTCAGACATAATGTATAGACAAAATAGAAGTTGGATGTATTATAAACATGGTGAAAAGAGAGGATTGTGAGACGAATTTCTTAATGGAGTTCAAGAGTTTATTAAATTTGCACTTGAACAAAAGAATTATATGGATGATGATAAAATCATATATCCATGTACAAAGTGTAAAAATCTCAAATTTAAAGACAGTGATGAAGTTGTGTGACGGCATTTGTACAACAAAGGTTTCGTTGACGATTATTGTAATTTGTCACGGCTTTTTTCACGTATCCGTCCGTGAAAAAAGCCTTGATAGCCAATATGTCAGAGCCTCGGGAAGAAGGTGTTGACAGAAGAATAAATTCGAATTTGTCACGGACGGATCCGTGACAAAATCTGAGACAAATTTGAAATTTCAAACTTGTCACGGATTTTGTCACGGATCCGTCCGTGACAAAGCGTCAATATATAAGCAACACTTAACAAATTTTTTATCCCTACACTTCAAAAACCCTAATTAAATTATTTCGGCCCACTCCATTCTCCCTTCTCTCAACCTTCTTCCTCTGACCTCAGCCGCTGTCCACCGCCGCTCTCTGCCGTACACCGCCCCTCTCCACCGTCCATCGCTGCTAGCTTTCATTTGAAGCCGCCGCCATTCCTCTCCGTTCCTCACCGTCTTGCCTTCTTCATCAAGGTTATGTGTGATTTTTTTTTTCAAACGTGTGTTTCTTAATATTTGATTGTAAATGTTTCAAAATGCCAAAAAATGCATGTTATTATTATTATTAGTGTTCAACTTTCGTTTGCATTCTTTTGTTTTTGAATTTATTATAATACTTCTCACAGACAATTATTAAAATGCATGCTCTATTTGTTTATATGTTTATATACTCAAATGCATACTAAAATGTGCTCAATTATCTTAAATGATTATTAATATACTAGGTTATTATATGCTCTTTTAAAATGCATACTCATTTTTTTCCATTTATTATAAGTTTGATGCATGCTCTAATGATTCAAATGTGCATGCTCTATTTGTTGAACTTTTTCTGCATGAACTTGTTGAATAAATGCATGCTCATACCTTATGCATGAAATGTTGAATAGATGCATGCTCATATCTCAAACATGAATTATTTGATGCTCTATAAATTAATGCATGCTCTATTTAGTTTATTTATTGTAATGGTCTTATTTTCGGACATATACTTTATGATTTAATATTATTAGAACTTCAATTTTCGGACATTTTATAGCATAATTTTTGTCAAGACCTCGTACATGAATTATTTTCTGCTCTATAAATATTATCATTTATTGAAGTTATACAAAATTAATTTTAAAAATCAGGCCCCCTCATATTAAACTTATAAACAGTTTAATATGTTACATATATGATTCCAACATCAAACATTTTGAAAAATTCGTCCCCCTCATGTTAAACTTGTAAAAAAGTTTAACATGTTAAATTTGTAATCAATTAATAGTACAACAAACTATTTTTCTAAAATAGAAATAAAAAACTGTTACACTTTTTTCGTATTACTATACATTAATTCTTCTAAAATTTAATACAAAAAAAAACACTGTTTTTTGTTTTTTTAGCAAAAATAAAAGTTTTATTAGAATATAGAAAAGTTTTAATAAAAGTTTTATTGAAATACATTGTTTTTTGTTAGTACAACAAACTGTTTTTCTAAAAATTAAAAAAAAAATGTATTTTATTATTACAATAAAATGTATTTTATAAACATTATTACAAAAAATACTTTTTTTATAAAAATTAGCACAAAAAATTGTTTTTTCCCTAAGAGTTTATATTTACTACTGTTTTTTCTAAAATAACACAAAAAATATACACTTTTTTCATATTACAATACATTGAGTTTTCTAAAAATTAATACAAAAAATACACTGTTTTTTTTGTTTGTACAACAAACTGTTTTTCTAAAAATTTTAAAAACTGTATTTTATTATTACAATAGACTGTATTTTATAAAGGTTATTACAAAAGATATTTTTTTTAATAAAAATTACCAAAAATGTTTTCCCTAACATTTTATATTTTCTGAGTTTTTTTCTAAAAATAATACAAAAAATACACTTTTTCATATTACAATACATTGATTTTTGAAAAAATCAATACAAAAAAAGACTGTTTTTATAAAAAATAATAGGAAAAGAATATACTGTTTTTTAAAATTAATATAAAGAAGTACATTCTTTTTTATAAGTACAACACACTGGTTTTTATAAAAATTAATAAATTAATATACTGTATTTAATTATTACAATAGACTGTTCTAAAAATTAACACATAAAATACACGCACTTTTTATAAAAAATTAATACACTTCAAAATTAATACTTTTTTTCGTAACACTTTAGTATTTAATACTGTTTTTTTATAAAACTTGTTAAGAAAAAACTAATGTTCTATTATCACACTAATACTCCAAAACATATACAGAGTGATCCTTCTCGCCATTCCCACCGTTCCCGTCGCGGAGGTTCGCATTCATGAGGCATCCCGACTACGTACACACATTCCGGACATCAATGATGATATCAATGATGATTCCGGACATGTCCAAACACCTCCTTCTCAGCAATCTGAAGCTCATGGAAGCACTTCTCATGTGCGTCAAGACCCCTCAAGCTCCCGCGGAGGCGCAGGTGGCTATCGCCCTTCCCTCGTTCCGTCTACTGAAATGGAGCCCGAGAACCAGGGTCGTCTAGAGCATTTTGGAGGCCCTAGATAGTCAAATAGATATTTTATTTAAATATATAATTTATTCAGCTTAACAATATAAAAATATAATATCAAGTAAATTACATACAAAATGCAGCATATACGGCTCCTATTAATATAAAGAGAGTACTTCAAAATCAAATGATCCAAAATTGACCAAAAATTTCATGGATACTTATAGTTCAAGGTGTTTTCTTTTGGACTCTTTTTAGTGTTCAGATCAGAACAAGATAGACTGCAACAAACCAAACCAGACCAGATCAGGAAATTTTAATCCACAAGAAAACATTTTACTTTTCTAGCTCTTTGAAGAGCAAAATTAGTAAGAACATTGTCAATTGGAAATAACAAAACCTGTAATTTTATACGAAGTGCATAATAATACTACGTACAAAGTAATACGGAGTAATAGATAAGTAAATGATTTACTAATAAAAAAAACAATCTACTTGACCATCTAATCAATCACACATTCACACATCACAATTTCAAATATATCGTGTTTTTATAAATTTTAAAACATTCACAAATACTCGTATAATTATTATAATTAATTATTGTTTTACACAATGACATAAATAATTAGTTAATTTGAGTGAATGTTAAGTGTAAATCAATACTTTATATAACAATACAATTATACTTGAACAATTAGTCAGTTGGTGTCATATATATACAAATACATTTAAGATTTTATTATATTTTAATATAATCACAAATACGTAGTATATATCAATACGGAGTACACTAATACATTCTACTCCTAGTGGCCCAGTCCCTAACCGACAAAAAACTAGTGGCCCAGTACATTAATACATGGAAAAATGGGCAAATAAGCCCACGTACTAACCAAAAAAGGTTAAATAAGCCCTTATATAGGAGGATATGTCCGGACGTCGTCATTTGAGGTGGTTCCCGGTGGAAATTTTTGATGCAATTTTTTGAGCATATTATTCATTAAGTCTAGTTACTCATACGAAATTTCAGCTAAAACGTCAATCGAGAAGGCATTCAAATGAATTCTTGAAGATAACTGCGCACTTAAAATCACAGTTATCTTCAAGAATTTATTTGAATGCCCTCCCAATTGAATTGTTAGCTGAAATTTGGTATGAGTAAACTAGATTTAATGAATAAGATTCTCAAAACATTTCATCAAAAAAATCCATTGAGAACTATCCCAAATGATGACGGCCGGACACAGCCTCTTATACATTGAAAAAACGTAGAAGAATTGTTCAGAAGTTAGAAGAATTAAAGATTGTCCTCGTGACTCGCTTGAAGGATTAGAAGACCTGAAGCCTGATTGCCTGACGAGGCGAAGACCTCAAATTGACATCTCCCTAGTCGGCAGCATCGCCAAGCCGGAACTCTAAACGGTTGGTCGTTTCGAGCTTCCACTGCTCTCGTTAGTCATCTCGGCCTCTTCTGTCTTCCGTCGATTCAATGGGTCATGTTTTTACATTTATGACTTAGAAATTTAACCACAATTATAATTATAACTAAATATACATATATAATGATGGACTTGTGTGTAAATTTGGAGGCCCCTAACATTTGGGGGCCCTAGACAAATGTCTAGGTGAACTGCCCCCATGGCCGGCCCTGCCGAGAACCCCAATGCGTTTTGGCTGACACCTCAAGTAGTTCGTAGATAATTAATTAACTCTCTCTAATTTGAAAGAACATAATCGCAACAAATATAAATTGATATAAATAATATTATGAACTTTTCGAAGAGATAAGGAGGTGATGGAGAGAATAAAAAAAATAGTTGGCGGACATTTTAGGGGGACTTGGTCGACTTACAAGGAGGTTGACAATGCGACCCGTGACTTTTGTTGGAACTTGTTCAAGGTAAAAATAAATAATTTTTCTTACATTTTAATAACTTAATTTTAATAAACGATATATCAATTTTGTAATGAAGTGCCAACATCGATGAATGCAAGGGACGAAAAAGCTATCATCAAAGAATATCATTCAAGGGTCTCGTCGTGGATGAGATTCAGTTCTGGTCACGCCCGAAATCTTAATCAAAAGCCCGGATTCGTTTCGGATGATGTTTGGAAAAACCTTGCTCATCATTGGGCTATGGATCCAAAATTTTTGAAAAAAAGACAAGCCGGTAAGCAAAACCGGAATTCCGAAAAGCTTTGATGACGCAATGGCATGTGGGCTGCAAACCCGGAGATCAGCATAAAGCAGATCTGGTAAACTCTAGATCTTGAAATTTTAGAATACCATTACACATAATCTTACATATAATTTTTTTAAAGTAATTTGATATTTATGTAGCAAGGGCTGGGACCCGAAAAAAAATAGGTCACAAAATGTACCTTGATTAGACATTGTTGGTATCTGAAGGGCGGGGGGTCGCCGCCACAATGCATCGCCGAAATTGAAGTAAATAGCGTAAATCCAATTATTTAATAAATCCCCAAGGTCATACATTTTTCGATCTTAACTATAATAAATTTATGTATTTGTAGAGGAAGTATGATGAAGATGTGCAGAAGAAACAGGCCGAGCTAAGTGACTCGGATGTCGAAATTGATGAGATTCAAGATGATACGACCTATTTGGTGGCTGCTGGGGTTTATAAAGGTCGGGTTTCGTGCATGTGTGCCGACGCTTTATGGATTTTGAAAAACTTTAAAGGAGCCAGTTCATCTTCTCAACCGATGGTTGATGAAGAACGGGTTGCCCGCCTTGAGAAAGAATTGCAGGAACTCCAAGAACAACAGGAAGAGGAGCGGAGAGAAAGAGAAAAGGTGGCAAAGATGCAGGCTCAAATGGATGAATTCTTCGCCACATGGCGGTCTCCCATGCATCAAATGCAGCCTCAGATGCCGCCTCAAGTGTCATTCATGAGCAGTATGGGTTTAAATTCTAGCCCCGGGTTTCAAATGCCGACAACCATTTCAAACACCTAGAGGTCATTACAGCCGAGGCGGCAGTGGAGATGGCAGTTGAGGCGGCAGTCAAGGCGGCAGTCGAGGAGGTAGTCGTAGTGGCAGGCGACATGGCGATGGTCAACCCGAATCAACCCATAGTGTCGGTTTTGATATCAACGACTATATCAACGATGAAGACCCCCCAAATATGTAATAGAGATAGTATATTAAATTTGAATTTTTATTAATTATTATGATTGTAGAAAAATAATTTTTTTTTATAATTTAATATTTAGTTTGTCACGGATAGGGGCCGTGACAAAGTTGAATTTTGTAATTTCCCCGTATTATTTCAATTTTTTTATCTATAAAATGTTTGTTACGGTCTGTGACAAAATATACACGAAAATGTTTGTCATAGATTTATTTCGTAAATAAGTGTGAAATTACAAGTTTTTCACGGATCCATCCGTGACAAATGTTGTCAAGGACAAAATCCGTGACAAAGTTGAGCCGGCAAACTTCTTCGGTTAACCTTTTTCACGAGACAAATTCGTGACAAAGTTTTGTCACGGATCCCGTTCCGTGACAAACTTTTGTCATGCCCATACAGACACGAAAAATATATGTGATAAAATCCGTGACAAAGGACACTGTTATTTTTGTAGTGACGCGAGTAGTGATTTCCGCCCTACATTTTTCTTTTCCGAATACCATCATGATATTGATAACCGCTTACGCGGCGTTGTAGTAAAACGGAGTCTAACCTTTCGGTTTTTCCCCGAGTATCGTGTGTCTGAGGAATGGCGGAGGACTTTTCTTAATTTAGTCTTAGTCACGGGCTATCGCTAATCGTTGGAAGCCTTTTCAATACAAAAAAGGGTCATTGTGTTCTAAACTAGGCCAAATTGCAAAATTATAAGTAGGAGTAAATTTCAACTAAAGATGAAGGCTTAAGATCTAATATTCTAAAGATTAATTAAAACATTGAGTCAAATAAGGGCAATGAATTGAGTAATTAGAAATGGATATATTCTTGGACCTAGTAATTAGGTGAATTAAAACTAAAATTGGACTAATAATTTCTTTTCTCATAGACAAGAATAGAAATTACTTTAATTCATTTATCCTAATTCTATGTTTCATTAATGTGTTCAAAAATGGTTGGCTTGAATTAAATTCTAATCTATAGACAAGACATAAATAATTCTCCAATATTTTAATTAATAAAAATAGCCAAATTCATTAACTAATTAAACTCATTATTTAAGAAATTTGAATTTATTTCTCATAGACAAGATATAAATCCCTTTCATTAAAATTTCCTATTTGTAGGCCTTATTAATGTGCTTCAATATGGTTGGCTCAAATTATTTTCTAATCTCATAGACAAGTTAGAAATAATTTTCCAAAATTTAATTAATGAAAATGACTAACAATTATTAATTACTACTTCTTCAATTTAAATAACTAGTCCAATTCATTAATTTTAACCCCTAGTTTTCGGCTAAGAAGTCAATCCATATTCCTTTAGTCAGTTCATGCCCAGAACAAATTTAGCTACTAAACATTATTGTTGCATTCAACAATATAGTAAATAAATTAAACCTTAACAAGGAACTAAACATTTATGATAGCAAAAATTAAAACAGAAATAAGATTATGTAAAAATAAACTTTCTGAACTAAAATATGATCTACGGTAATTTTTACTGAATTTTCTAACCTAAAATCCAATTTTACCAACTAATTCGATAATTTTCCCAACATTAACTAGATAATACAAAAAGCAACTAGAAATATTCTAATTTCGTTTTAAATTTTATATTGACTACTGGGGGTGATATTGCAGTGGAATAAACTGGAATTAGGACCGAAATTATTTTTTTCTATTTTTAACTAATTAATTTAATTTATGTAATCGTAACAACTGATTACCGAAATTAATTAAAAATTACTTGTGCTTCGTGAAAATTAACTTTCTTCAGATAAATAACAACCTTGAGGCTAGTAAACAACTATATAATTTTCTAATCTCATAGACAAGTTAGAAATAATTTTCCAAAATTTAATTAATGAAAATGACTAACAATTATTAATTACTACTTCTTCAATTTAAATAACTAGTCCAATTCATTAATTTTAACCCCTAGTTTTCGGCTAACAAGTCAATCCATATTCCTTTAGTCAGTTCATGCCCAGAACAAATTTAGCTACTAAACATTATTGTGGCATTCAACAATATAGTAAATAAATTAAACCTTAACAAGGAACTAAACATTTATGATAGAAAAAATTAAAACAGAAATAAGATTATGTAAAAATAAACTTTCTGAACTAAAATATGATCTACTGTAATTTTTACTGAATTTTCTAACCTAAAATTCAATTTTACCAACTAATTCGATAATTTTCCCAACATTAACTAGATAATACAAAAAGCAACTAGAAATATTCTAATTTCGTTTTAAATTTTATATTGACTACTGGGGGTGATATTGCAGTGGAATAAACTGGAATTAGGACCGAAATTATTTTTTTCTATTTTTAACTAATTATTTTAATTTATGTAATCGTAACAACTGATTACCGAAATTAATTAAAAATTACTTGTGCTTCGTGAAAATTAACTTTCTTCAGATAAATAACAACCTTGAGGCTAGTAAACAACTATATAATTTTCTAATCTCATAGACAAGTTAGAAATAATTTTCCAAAATTTAATTAATGAAAATGACTAACAATTATTAATTACTACTTCTTCAATTTAAATAACTAGTCCAATTCATTAATTTTAACCCCTAGTTTTCGGCTAACAAGTCAATCCATATTCCTTTAGTCAGTTCATGCCCAGAACAAATTTAGCTACTAAACATTATTGTTGCATTCAACAATATAGTAAATAAATTAAACCTTAACAAGGAACTAAACATTTATGATAGCAAAAATTAAAACAGAAATAAGATTATGTAAAAATAAACTTTCTGAACTAAAATATGATCTACTGTAATTTTTACTGAATTTTCTAACCTAAAATCCAATTTTACCAACTAATTCGATAATTTTCCCAACATTAACTAGATAATACAAAAAGCAACTAGAAATATTCTAATTTCGTTTTAAATTTTATATTGACTACTGGGGGTGATATTGCAGTGGAATAAACTGGAATTAGGACCGAAATTATTTTTTTCTATTTTTAACTAATTATTTTAATTTATGTAATCGTAACAACTAATTACCGAAATTAATTAAAAATTACTTTTGCTTCGTGAAAATTAACTTTCTTCAGATAAATAACAACCTTGAGGCTAGTAAACAACTATATAATTAATTGGAATGAATTCAACATCAACAACTATTTTATTTAATTTTTGGAAGAAAATGTGAAATAATTGATAAATTTTCTGGAAATTTCGGAAAACAGACCGAACAAACAAGTTGTATATTCAGATTCTAAAGATCGAGAGGATGAAAAGCATATATAGAACTTACAATTTGAAGCTAAAATGAAGAAGATATGGAAGAATTAAGTTTCTCTCTCCCAAAACCCTTGAAAGCTTCGGAAATGGTGAAGAAGAAGACTTTTTTCGAACTGATTTAGGGTTTGTAATGGTGTGTTTGGTTCAGCAAAAATCGGACTATTTAAAGCAAAGAAATCCCGTAGGCGGTCTGGAGGGAGGCCGCCCTTCGGCTTGAACCGGCCGCCTGCCGTTTTTTCACCAGCAACGGAACGTGGCAACGTCACTTCGCCGCAGGCGGTCACGGAAGGCGGCCATCTGCCGTTTCTGTCTGGCCGCCTGCCGTCTTTTCGCACCGACCGGTCGTTGGCTTCGTCGTCTTGTGCCGTAGGCGGTCACCGAGGGCGGTCGCCCTTCGTTGAGTGTCGGCAGCCTTCGGTCTTTTCCGGTCCCGATCAAAGTTGTAAAGTTGTGTTTACAAAAATACCATAATTGGCCTCGAGGGCGGTCAGATCTGGCCGCCTGTTTGACCGCCTGTGAGCTTACCGGCTTGTCTGGGAGCTTATTTGACCGGCTTGTTCTTTATTTTCTGCTCTTCAAATTTCCCTTCTGGACCACTTTGATATTCTGCTTCCTTCTTTAGATATGGATTTGTTTGTTACTCAAATTGACTCATTTTGTGCTCAATTGTCCCAAAATTTCACTAAACATATTATGAATGTAATTTTCACCTGAATTCATGAAACTTGAACCAAAATATCCAAAACGTGCCTTGTTTTTCTATTTTCTATACAAAAATCGCTTAATTTTGATAAGAAAAATAAGTACAAAAATGGACTTATCAATCTCCTCTCACTTAAGCGTTGCTTGTCCTCAAGCGACAAATTGGTTGGAAACACACTCACAAAAGGTAAAACCTGACTGAATCACAATCGAATTGCTATTAAAGAAATAGAAAGAAAAATCTCCTTTTTTATTTTCAACTTTTAAACATTTTAGAAAAATCACCCAAAATACAAGAATTTAAAATTATTATTACTTTATAAAAACTATTGATTATGTTAAACCACCAATCAATTCCTTTTCCCAAGGTTTTCATTATTCTAATTTGGACATTTATCTTATTCACAATTTTTTTGCCTCTTTTCCACTCTTGTTGGCGGTGTTATCCCATGATAGATGCATATTTCATTCTCACAGACTATGATTAACGAATGAAACAGAGCCCCTTTTCGGAGATGAAATTGTCCTATAACAATGAGTTTTGAAGAGATTTATTAATAATAGTATTTTTGTTTTAATGAATAAAATGAATGTCCAATTAAAATAAATTTAGCCCTTTACATTCGCAACAAAAAATCCATAATAATTTCAAGTTTTCTAAAAATAATAATAAAAGTAAATTCTTATAATAAGAGTGATTCTTTAAGCTATTATGTGATTGATAACAATTGAGAAGTGAATGTTTCATATCAAAAATAGTAAAAAGATTGTTCTAAAACAAGGTTTTAACTTTTTTGAGTGTAAAACGCAACATCCTCACACTTGAGCTGGACCTCGCTCTCGAGGTCTCTTTTTAATGCACAAAATTTGGAAACAAAGGCACATTTTTTTTTGTTCTTTCCTCACACTTGAGTTTTGAAAAGATTTTGTGAAGAGGAATGGATAAAACAGGAATAAAATTGTTTTAAAAATCCTTACACCATCCATAGTCAGTTTGTATGAGCAATCAAATCAAAAGAGCAGCGTAATGTCCAACCTGAATAAACAAACAAACAATGTAAAATATTAAGGAGGAAGTAAAAACTAATCAGAGCCAGTATCATCTCGTCGGCCATAGTGAGGCCTAAGCCAATCCTTTATCTCATCGATATCCATCTGTTGA